CACAGGCCCCTGTAACACACACAGGCCCCTGTAACACACACAGGCCCTAAACACTAACCCAGTCTCCTATAACACACACAGGCCCTGAACAGAAACCCAGTCTCCTCTAACACACACAGGCCCTGAACAGAAACCCAATCTCTTGGGTTTTTGGTTCTGTTTTAGTGATAGACCTGTTTTATTTTGTGTATTTTTGATAGAACATAGAACATTACAGCCCAGTACAGGCCCTTTGGCCCTCGATGTTGTGCCGACCTGTGAAACCAATCTGAAGCCCATCTAACCTACACTATTCCATTATCATCCATATGTTTATCCAATGACCATTTAAATGCCCTTAAAGTTGGCAAGTCTACTACTTTTGCAGGCAGGGCATTCCACGCCCTTACTGCTCTCTGAGTAAAGAACCTACCTCTGACATCTGTCCTATATCTATCATCCCTCAATTTAAAGCTATGTCCCCTCGTGCTAGCCATCACCATCTGAGGAAAAAAACTCTCACTGTCCACCCTATCTAATCCTCTGATCATCTTGTATGTCTCTATTAAGTCACCTCTTAACCTTCTTCTCTCTAACGAAAATAGCCTCAAGTCCCTCAGCCTTTCCTCATAAGACCTTCCCCCCATACCAGGCAACATCCTGGTAAATTTCCTCTGCACCCTTTCCAATGCTTCCACATCCTTCCTATAATGCGGCGACCAGAACTGTACACAATACTCCAAGTGCGACCGCACCAGAGTTTTGTACAGCTGCAACATGACCTCATGGCTCCGAAACTCAATCCCTCTACCAATAAAACCTAACACACCGTACGCCTTCTTAACAACCCTATCAACCTGGGTGGCAACTTTCAGTGATCTATGCACATGGACACCGAGATCTCTCTGCTCATCCACACTACCAAGAATCTTACCATTAGCCCAGTACTCTGTATTCCTGTTACTCCTTCCAAAGTGAATCACCTCACACTTTTCTGCATTAAACTCCATTTGCCAGCTCTCAGCCCAGCTCTGCAGCTTATCTATGTCCCTCTGTAACCTGCAACATCCTTCCGCACTATCCACAACTCCACCGACTTTGGTGTCATCCGCAAATTTACTAAGCCATCCTTCTACGCCCTCATCCAGGTCATTTATAAAAATGACAAACAGCAGTGGCCCCAAAACAGATCCTTGAGGTACACCACTAGTAACTGAACTCCAGGATGAACACTTCCCATCAACCACCACCCTCTGTCTTCTTACAGCTAGCCAATTTCTGATCCAAACCGCTAAATCACCCTCAATCCCATGCCTCCGTATTTTCTGCAATAGCCTACTATGGGGAACCTTATCAAGCGCTTTACTGAAATCCATATACACCACAGCAACCGCTTTACCCTCATCCACCTGTTTGGTCACCTTCTCAAAGAACTCAATAAGGTTTGTGAGGCACGACCTACCCTTCACAAAACCGTGTTGACTATCCCTAATCAAATTATTCCTTTCTAGATGATTATAAATCCTATCTCTTATAATCCTTTCCAACACTTTACCCACAACCGAAGTAAGGCTCACTGGTCTATAATTACCAGGGTTGTCTCTACTCCCCTTCTTGAACAAGGGGACAACATTTGCTAGTCTCCAGTCTTCTGGCACTATTCCTGTAGACAATGACGACATAAAGATCAAAGCCAAAGGCTCTGCAATCTCCTCCCTAGCTTCCCAGAGAATCCAAGGGTAAATCCCATCCGGCGCAGGGGACTTATCTATTTTCACACTTCCCAGAATTGCTAACACCTCCTCCTTATGAACCTCAATCCCATCTAGTCTAATAGCCTGTATCTCAGTATTCTCCTCGACAACATTGTCTTTTTCCTGTGTGAATACTGATGAAAAATATTCATTTAGCACCTCTCCTATCTCTTCGGACTCCACGCACAACTTCCCACTACTGTCCTTGACTGGCCCCAATCTTACTCTAGTCATTCTTTTATTCCTGACATACCTATAGAAAGCTTTAGGGTTTTCCTTGATCCTACCTGCTAAAGACTTCTCATGTCCCCTCCTGGCTCTTCTTAGCTCTCTCTTTAGGTTCTTCCTGGCTAACTTGTAACTCTCAAGTGTCCTAACTGAGCCTTCACACCTCATCTCTACATAAGCCTCCTTCTTCTTCTTGACAAGAGATTCAACTTCTTTAGTAAACCACGGTTCCCTCGCTCGACCACTTCCTCCCTGCCTGACATGTTAACATGATGTTAATAAATCAGCTTTAAATTTTTCTGTAGCTATGGTGAATTGTCTTAAAACAATTTTTGAGGCCTTATGTCTAATTAATATTTTCTGTGTATATTGTCACGTTCAAAGCTCCAGTTGAAAATGTCCAAAGCATTTTTTAAGCTTAAGGGAAACATCCATAGCCAACAGAGGATTTTTTTGTCTTATTTTGAGTTTTGAGATGTTCTGTGAGATCCTAGGATGAATATGGCTATGTAGACCAGTGGTTCTGAGAAGGGAAGGACATTGTGAAACTAGCTTAATTTAGAGTAAGGAATTAATGTTAGTCCCAGGCCAGTGGTGTTGGGGTAAATCCCTGAAGAGGTTGCTCAAAGCTCAGAGGAAGCTATCTGCAATCTGAACCTCTGAACTGAAGTTATGAATGACTTCAACCTACTGCAGTAATGGAGACACAGTGTAAGTCGTGTATGTGTGCTGTTTGTGGGTATTATATAAGGTGAATGTGTAAGTACATTACAAAAGCTGTTGCTTTTCCTTTCAATTTATAAAGAAATGTTTTAGGAATAATACGATTGTATTTTTATCGTGAATTTGTGTTCTAAGTACATAGTTTGGTTTATCCTGTTTAATCTTCATTTCCTTTATGCATAAACTTTTGTTTTCACGTTGAAGTAAAATCTGATGCATTGTGTGCTGATGGTTCCAACAATACAATCTGATGTACCCAGCCAGATTCCCACCTGGATTACATCCAGAGGGGGTGGGGGTGAGCTTCCTGTCACTGGGGATCCTGCAGTCTGTCTCTCTCCTCCCCTCCCCGCTTTCCCTGAGTCAGTGTGAGCTGTGCATGTGAGCTCAGTTTAGGACAGCAGCCTGTCACTGCCAGTTTCCTGCAGCCCTCAGCCTGGGCTGGTTGGGAATTTCTGGGAGCTGGTGGGGAAGGGCTGTCTGAAATTGGAGCTGTCACCAAGCAGTCAGTGTGACCATGCAGAGCGTGCTACACAGTCAGATCCCTGTGGTACAGGCTGCTGTACAAACAGACTCACAGTCAGACAGTAGGCACCGTCACATTCCCTGTCATCTCACCCCCAAAACTGATGGTTCACACCTATTTACTTACGTTGTAATGATTGCAAAATTACCGTGTACTCAGACCAGCAAACTCATGAACCATAATCGATAAATTACAATGTACTGTAATGGAGAAACTACAGTGAACTAATATACTTAAAGGAGAGTCTACAGTGCACTGTAACTAGAGCTAGTGTCCTGTAACAGACAACCTTGTGTACAGCAAACAGGAAAGTGCATTGTAACTGAGATTACAGTGTCTCATCAAGATTACATAACCAAAAACCAAAATGTACTGTAACTGAGAAAATACTGTAACCCAAGACTAGTGTACTGTAACAGAAAACCACAGTATGCTATAACTAAGAAACAAGTGCAGGGCAACTGGGACCTTAGCAGACTAACTTAGACTACAGGGTTCAGTAATTGAGAATATACAGGTAATTGAGAATACACAGGGTACAGTAATTGAGAATACAGGGTACAGTAATTGAGAAAATAGATTTCTCTTGAGAAATGAGAGTTTACATTAATTGAGAAATGACATTTTCAGTGACTGATATTACAGGCAGTGTATAACTCTCCAGAGTGTGAGGAACTACGGGAAATGGGAGAAAACAAGTTGACTGGCAGTAATCCAACAGACAATGAGTAAAGGAGGAATCATCAATATCATTCACCCACCCCCAACCCCACCCAGTAACAGTGCAACTTTAAAAACTGCTTCACAGGCTCAGCTGACACTCTGTACCCACCAGCAATTCTCAGCAACACATTGATGTGTGTTCAAATCCCAGCCCCTCATCTCTGAGGCTTGTGATTTTCCATGAAAACAAACAGGTCAAAGTCTCCCGGATGGTCGTGTTTACCCATCTGACAGGGCAGTACTGTCCTTGCTACTGACTTATGGAAGGATGGATGTAACCACAGGGAACAGAACCACTACAAACACGAGAACTGACTGCTGTGAGGCAGTAGGGACGGGGGAGGTGGGGCTTGACAGAGCGAACACTCAGAGGATGTTTCACTTACGGGGGAAGTGAGAAACGGGGAGGGGCGGGAACAGTTTCAGAATAAGAGCTGTCCCATGAAAGTCAAATGGGGAATCCAAAACTAGAGGGCATGGGTTTAAGGTGAGGGGGGAAAGGTTTAAAAGGGACCCAGGGGGCAACTTTTTCACGCAGAGGGTGGTGCGTGTATGGAATGAGCTGCCAGAGGAAGTGGTGGAGGCTGATACAATTACAACATTTAAAAGGCATCTGGATGGGTATACAAATAGAAAGGGTTTAGAGGGATATGGGCCAAATGCTGGCAAATGGGACTAGACTTATTTAGGATATCTGGTTGGCACGGACGAGTTAGGTCAAAAGGTCCATTTCTGTGTTGTATATCTCAATGACTCTATGAAGAGGAATTCCTTCTCTCAGGAATGTTAATCTTTAGATTGGTGTCCCTCATTGGAAGGCTGGTTTAGGTAAAGTTCTGATCAATGGGGAGTCAAGAGTTCAGGAACCTGAATGGACAGTGGGATCAAGAGTCACGATTGAATGGAATGGTGAAGAAGCAATGAGGCCTCTTTGTGCAGCTAATTTGTCTGATATTATGGCAAAATGGCCCTGAAGGAGCATGTGACCAGGGAGGTTCATCAAGGAATAAACAGCATTTCAAATTAGGACACACACACACACATACACACACACACACACACACACACACACACATTCATGACTAGGTCAGGTTAAAGGTCAGAGTGCAGCCAGTTACTGTACCACTCGCAGTAGGCTCCTCCTCTCCTTAAACGTGGCACAGCAGCCAAGGATCCCAGTCAACATGACGATGACCCCGGCCACCACCAGGATGTAGGCAGTTGCGGCGTAGGTACTGGAGGACAGCAGGCTGATATAGTCACTCTTCTCAACCAGGGTCCAAATGCCAACCGCCATCACCACACCACCAGCCAGCTACAAGGGAGAACACAGAGTCGTGAGGGAGACCGAGGGACAGCGTGGGGAGGAGGGGCTGGGGGAGGAGGGGTTGAGGAAGGGGTGAGGAGGGTGGGTGAGGGGTGAGGAGGGAGGGAGGGACAGGGAGGCTGAGGGACAGGTGGGAGGACAGAAGGTGAGACTGAGGCAGGTGTTGGGGAACAATGTGGGATAGACAGAGGCACAGGGTCATTAGCAGAGAGGCAATGGGGCACTTAGTGTTGATGGTATAGAGATATTTTCGTTGGCACAGTTACCCACTAGGGGCCTGGGGCAGCAGAGAGCAGGCAGTGAGGAATATCAGCTTTAATCCAACATTAGTAATTATCACAGTCAGAAACTGTACCATCTCCAGCTACAATACTCACACCCAAATTTCAAACCAATGTGCTTTCCTTCTGCCCTTCAGCAACAGCTGACATACACCACTGGGGCAATGCTAGATACAGAGTAAAGCTCCCTCTACACTGTCCCCCAAACACTCCCAGGACAGGGACAGCACGGGATTAGATACAGAGTAAAGCTCCCTCTACACTGTCCCCCATCAAACACTCCCAGGGTGAGGACAGCATGGGGTTAGATACAGAGTAAAGCTCCCTCTACACTGTCCCCCATCAAACACTCCCAGTACAGCCTTGTCCACTCATCAAACACTGACTATCCTATCAGGCAGCCCTCCATCCTGTACCGCTCACTGTATCCTTATATAGCCCACAACCTGTAGGAGTGCAACCCCCATTCCAACCCATCCCTGCCCCAATGTCCTGCTGAAACCAGTGCCAAGGCCCTGGGGGGGTGGGGTCTTGGTGTAAGCTCTCAGACTTACCCAGAAGAAGAAGTTGAAGATGAACAGCAGGTACTTGAGGCAGATGGTGCCACACGTGTCACGTTTCTCAATGTATTCGCCCATTGTGAGTTCCTGTTCACTCTGTGGAAAGGACAATAGACACTAACTCACTGTGCAAACTCTCCATCCTATACCAGACAGTGTGTACCAACAAAACCCCACAGTGTTTACAAGCAAAACCTGACGATGTCTACAGACTGAACCCACAGAGATCATGGGGGTGGATGTTCCCTCTCTGATCCCCTGTGTTCAGTGTACAGTGACTATACCCAGGGTAGACTCTCCCTCTCTGATTTTGTGTGTTTTGTGAACAGTCCCCCTGCCCCCCTTCCCACAGACAGGGAGCCATCTGCATTCCTGTGTGAATTTCTCTTAGTGTTGGTGTGTGCAGTGAGTCGTTTATATTACAGCCTGTTGTCATGGCACTGGGATACACCCATGCTTCAGGCAAACAATCACTTGCTGTCTCGAATCAGAGAGCTCTCCAGCCTCGGCTGCTTCTCAGTCTGTCACGTTAAGATCCTGTTCAACATTAAGCACTCGCAGTCTGGTATAAAGCTGCTACAGTTACTGTGCTTTCAATATTCACCCAGCCCCACTCTAGTCTGGATCACTACAGGCTGTCGTTGTATGTGGTGATCTCTCCTTTGACAGTGCTCTGTAGCTTATTATCACAGCCCCCTCCAGCTTCACTTCTGCTTTGCCCTCTGTGAGGGCTGTCACAGACTCCAGGTACCTCCTTCTCTGCTGGAGTATTTTATTATGTATCTTATTGATAAGAGAAACAAGTAAAACTCCGGCTACTGGACTGTAATGGAAGGCAAACAGGAAAGGGGGTGCACTTTGGGGCAGGTAGCAAATATTATCGACTTCTTTCTCAATGGTGAAAAGCTAGAAGCAACGGGGATTCAAAAAGGTCTCGTGATCCGAGAACACAAGATTATCCAAAGAGAAATCCAACAAAAAAAAAATCTCTCGACCAAGAAGGACAGAGATTGCTGGAGGAACTCAGCAGGTCTGACAGCCTCTGTGCTGAGAGAAACAGAGTTAACTGAAAACAATGTGAAGAAGAGTCATATAGGATTTGAAATGTTGACTCTGTCTCCCTCTCCACAAACGCTGCCAGACGTGCTGACAGTCTCTGGCATTTTCTAGAGTTTGTTTCAGATTTCCAGCCTCCACAGTATTTTAGTAGAAAGAAAGTCATATACAGCTGCACAAACCTGGTTGGACCACACACACACACACACCCCCCCAGAACTCCTGTGTTTAGTTCTGGAGGCCATGCCTTCAAAAGGATAAACTCCCCTTGGAGCAAAGATTTACTGGACATGTCATGCAGAGTCACTCTTACTCCTCACTGGAGTAACATGCTGGAAAATAAGCCAAGTGACTCCCAGAAAGAGAAAGAAGGACAAAGTTCTGGGAGTCTTGGTCAATAGGGTAAGGACAGGCCCAAGGTGTGGACACTGAAGTCACACAGTTGGCTCGAGGTTTGGTCAGTCTGTCTTCCTCATCATCCTGCCTTCAGTGAAACATAGGGGATAGGAGCAGGAGTAGATGCCATTCGGCCCCTCAAGCCATTCATCAAGCTGATCATCAAGCTCAATACCCTAATCTCAGCCTGTCCAATATCCACATGCCTTTAGACACAATCGCTATATGAACAAAATGAACAAATGCAAAGGTACAGCACAGGAACAGGCCCTTCAGCCCTCCAAGCCTCTGCTGACCATCATGCCCTAATTAATCTAAGAACAAACCTGCCATTTCTCGATCCGTATCCCTCTACTCCCTCCCTATTCATGTACCCATTTAGGTGCCTCTTAAATGTCTTCAATGTGCCCACTTCCACCACGTCTTCTGGTAGTGCATTCCAGGCTGCTACCACTCTCTGCATGAAAAACTTCCCTCGCACATCTCCCTTAAACTTTCCCCCTCTCACCTTGAACCTGTGCTCCCTTGTAATTGAAACTTCAACCCTGAGAAAAAGCCTCTGACTATCCACCCTATCTGTGCCTGTCATAATTTTGTTGACCTCTATCACGTCTCCTCTCAGATGCCGTCTTTCCAGTGAAAACAATCGTAGTCTTTTTAACCTTTCCTCATAGTCAATGCCCTGGAGGCCAGGCAACATCCTGGTGAACCTTCTCTGTACTCTCTCCAAAGCTTCCACATCCTTTTCGTAATGTGGTGACAAAAACTGCACACAATACTCCAAATGCAGTCTAACAATGGTTTTATATAGCTGCAACATGTTTTGCCAATTCTTGCCCCAGGCAATGAAGGCAAGCATGCCATATGCCTTCTTAATCACCTTGGCTACCTGTGTTGCCACTTTCAGGGAACTGTGGACCTGCATGCCCAGATCCATCTGAATGTTAGTGTTCCTAAGGATTCTGCCATTTACAATATAATCCACACCTAAATTTGATCCTCCAAAATGCATCACCTCACATATGTCTGGATTAAACTCCATCTGCCAATTCTGTGCCCAACTCGGCAATCTATCTATATCCTGTTGTATCCTTTCACAACCATTGGCACCAGCAACAACTCCACCAATCTTCATGTCATCAGCAAACTTACTAATCAGACCACTCACATTTTCCTCCAGATTATTTATATATATGACAAACAACAAAGGACCCAAGACTGATCCCTATGGAACACCACTAGTTACCAGTCTCCATTCTGAAAAACATCCTTCCACCACTACCCTCTGTTTTCTATGACCAAGCCAGTTTTGTATCCATCTAGCCAGGCCACCCCGAATCCCTTGTGATTTTAGTTTTTGTACCAATCTGCCATGTGGGACTTTATCAAAAGCCTTACTAAAGTCTATATAAACTACATCCACAGCCCTTCCCTCATCAATTATCCTCATTACCTCTTCAAAAAATTCAGTCAGGTTGGTGAGACCTATAACTACCTCTTTCTTGAAAACACGCAATGTTTTAGCCTTGACCACTTTCTGTGATAGTGAATTACACAGGCTCACCACTCCTGGATGAAGAAATGTCTCCTCATCTCAGTCCCTTATCTTTAAACAAAGGACCCCTTGGTTCTGGGTTTCCCCACCATTGGGGAACATCCTTCCTGCATCTTACTTGTCTTAGTTCTGTTAGAATTTCATGGGTTTCTATGAGAGTCGCCCCCGCCTCATTCTTCTAAACTCCAGTGAATACAATCAGTGAATGCTTTCTGTGTTAACTCCAGGACATCCAGTAGGCTCCTCGCAAGTTGTTTATCAGTCCGAGTAGTACACAAGTCAGGATTGTTGCTTCGCCTCTCACAAGCCGAAATCGACGCCCACCATATTGATTCCATAGTAAAAATCCTCAAATACCAGCAGTAACTCCTCCCCAGTGATCTATCTTCACCCTCCCACAGCTGCAAGAGAAAGGAGCTGTTTTCAGACATCAGGCACATGTAAAAAGGTCACACAGCACAGGGTACAGTGTCCAAGAATGGTACTAGGATCGCATCTGCCACATTAGCTGGAGTCAGGTCTGTCCCAGAAGCCTGCAACACCCACTGCCTCAATCTCAGCAGCTGGCACTTGGCCAAAGCACAGCTGGGCACGCATGGCACGTGAACCCCAGCACCAGTCACCAGCCAACAATACAAGGGAAGGTTTTCAGAGAGAGAGTAAACAGTGGGCAGCTCCAACACAGAGGCTGTGACACCAAGTGGAGCAGACTCTGTGACCACTAAGAAACAATCGGAGATGTTAGAGCACAGAAAGAAGCCATTCAGCCCACTGCTACTCCATATACCTGCCTCACCACTGCCATCTCCAGCCCTGCCCAGCTCCCCTTGTTTCTCCACACCCTTTCAAACAATTTCTCCAAGACATCTTCTTCAACGGTTCAGCTACGAACAACCATTCTGATAACATGGACTCTAATAATCCACTGTACAAAAACATTCCCCTGATCTTCGACATCTAAAACATTCAACATCAGGAACCTGCAGAAACATACCCTTGCTCTGTTAACCTCGTAAACACTTTCCTAATGTCGAACACTTCTTTCAGACATCCCGTAAGTTCTCCACTCCAATTCCTCATTTCCAAATAGTTTTTTTTAATTCATTCACAGGCTGTGAATGCCACTAGCTAGGGCCAGAATTTATTGCTCGTCTCTATTTGGGGTTAACAGTCAACCACATTGCTGTTGGTCTGGAGTCACATGCAGGCCAGACCAGGTAAGGATGGCTGATTTCCTTCCCTAAAAGGACATTACTGAACCAAACTCAAAGCAAAAAATGCTGGAGATCAATGAGGAAGAAGAATCATCTAGACTCGAAACGTTAGCTTGCTCTCTCTCTCTCTCCATGGATGCTGCCTAACCCACTGTGATCTCCAGCATTTATTGTTTTCAGTACAGATTCCAGCATCTGCAGTAATTTGCTCTGACATTATTGAACCAGGCGGACTTTTCCAACAATCAACAACAGTTTCACGACTAACATTAGACTCTGCATACTTTTTTGTTGAACTCAAATTCCACCTTCTGCTGTGTTGGGATTTGAACCCAGGTCCCCAGATCATTATCTGGGTCTCTGGATTCATAGTCTGGTTACAATACCACTAGGCCATCCCTCGGAGGATTTCCTATGGCCATGCTCTGTGGCTTTAATATCCTTGCTGACTTTCCAAAGTGGTGCACAGTATTGAACCATGATCATATACCGTGAACCCCAGCACCAGCCAACAACACAAGGGAAGGTTTTCAGAGAGACAGTAAACAGTGGACAGCTCTAACACAGAAGCTGTGACACCAAATGGAACAGGATCATGTCTTTCTTGTATTCATTGTACCTATATATTGGGTTGTGTGTGATTTCCCACTGCCAGTCCTGTTTTCACAGCAATTCTAACCCAAGATCCCCCGTGTCTCATTTCTACTGAAAAGTTCGACTGATATTCCTGAATGCTTAATGTCTCCTCAGCATTTACTGTCTCACATTCACCTTCACTGAACTAGCTGCCTGTACCATCCACCTGCCCAATTCCTGGCCCATCTCAGCCCCTCTCACATTGTTTTTAACGTTCCCTCCTCCACAAAAAAACTGGA